TGTAAATTCGGACTTCGTTAGTTCCAGCTTTGGCTACCCGATCTCAGCACCTCAATGGCTCTATTTGCCTCCGTTACAACCATTTTCATCCATTTCATCACTGATTATAGGATATTTAAAAGTATGATTCTGAGATTTTGCCAAATGGAACAACCTCAATATCAAATGTCATTCCAATCCGTCCAATGGTAAAAAAAAAAACTGGACAAACAATGGATGTACAGACACGACTAGCACATAATGCATTCTCGTCATGTACTTCATGCAAAAAATGCATAACAAGGATTAAGAGCAATCATAAATAATTACAGTGAATGACTAATAGCACACTGGGCTACAAAAGAACTTATGAGGTTGTGATATACAAATAACTCACCTTTAGAAGCACTGAAGAGAAGGTCATCTGTGGCAAAAACAGACAGCACCGCACGTGAATGTCCTTCAGCTACATGAGTGCACTGCAAGGGTGCCTTTGCTGGAACCTGGACCACAGAAAGATTACAGTGTCTGCTGTTAGACAGTTTGTCGACTAGTCACATTGGAAAGAATAAGGAATATGCAGCACATAGCATGATACTGAAGCATGCTGACACCACAGAACACTGAGCACACCAACATCACATTTGTACACATCTTACACAAAACTGAATACAAGGCGACTGCTCAAACAACTATAATTAAAATATATGTAAACTAACACCACGGAGCAGAGCTCTTCTTGAGGAGCTGATAGTACATTCACCTATTCAGAAAAAATGCTGCTTTTTATAGGACCTGAAGGTTCACAGCTGTTTCCCAAAAGCCTCTCACCAGGTCCTATCCTAAGCCAGACGAATCCAATCCATACTAGAAAACCCTACTTTGCTATGATCCATGGGCTCCCTTCAGGCCCTCCAAACCAATTTTGTGTCCATCTTAATTTCCTCCACGTATGCTATATGCCCCATCCATCTCATCCTTCACGATTTCATATTCAAGTAATATCTGATACAGTATACAAACTATGGAGCTACTCCTCATTATGCAATTTTATCCAACCTCCTGTCACTTCATACCTCTCAGGCCCAAATATTCTCCTCAAGTGCCCTGTTTTCAAACGCCCTACCTGCGTTCTTCCCTTTCTGTAGGAAATAAGATTTTGCATCCATACAAAATGACAGGAAAAATCTTAGTTTCATATATTTACATCTATGTTTCTAGACAGCAGAGAGGAAGACAAAAGATCTGAATTATATGGCAGAAAAAAATACATGCTATTATTGACTTTATGACATAATACATATGCATTGCTTGAAGTATGAGAAACCCACCCACTCTAGTGCAGGATATTTTTTGTAAAGTCGACTGTATACTCAGCTCGTCAAAGAATAGCCCACTTTCTTTATGACATCCGAATGTTCATCACGGTGTTCACAAAAGCCAGCCACTGGACCCTATCCTGAGTCAGCTGCATCCAGTTTGCTCCATCGATCCCCATCTCCCTAAGATCCATTCTAATGTCCTCCCACGTACGCCTAGGTCTTCCCAGCAGTCTCCTCCCTTCAGGCTTCCCAACCAATACCTTCTAACACCCGTCACTTCCCCCTGCATGTCGCATGTCCCACCCACCTCATCCTCCTCAATTTAATCGCTTTGACAATATAAGGTGAGGGGCACAGGCCGTGAAGCTCGTCGTTATGCAATTTTCTCTGTTCCCGTTTTTCCAGAACCTTGGAACAATGATTGCAGATTTCCTTTGGACATCATCCAGAGTCTTTGTAAAATACATATGAAGTTCTGATGATGATACCACTCTTGGCTGTAATGCGGTGTAAGCTCATGGGTTGTTACCAACATTTCAGAGAAACATACTGCCTCTGGTCCTGAAGATGGAGGCGGCATGTATCTCACAAATGCTGGCATCAACCTACAAGCCCAGATGGGGCCATAGCCTAGAAGAACAAAACTGTCATATTCACTGCCGCAGTCAACTGCAAATGGTGAAAGTAATCATGATGAAAATTTCAAGTACTCAGGCATATTTTCTATAATGAGAAACTGAGAAAAGAAGAAATTAGTAACACAATTAGATGAGGCAAAATTATCTTATGTTCAAATCAAGTATGGCATGATTCACACACACATACAACAACACAAAGACAATCAGACCAGCTATGGTGAAGACAACTGCAGGTCATGGCTGTGAGGTTGGACTATGAAAAAGGAGGAACAAATAAATTATGTGCAATTTAAATGTAATATTTGTGAAAAAGTGCAAAACTATCAAGAACGTGCATAACATAAAATAAGATGACAAATGGATCATGAAAAAATAATAACAGACTGGAAAGAAAAGGAATGAACTGGTATGAACGTGCGACATGAACGAAGGAAGATGGATGAGTGAAATATGTAATCAGAGAGGAAGGTGACCAAGGAAGATATGGAAGAAGGAATTCTGCAAGTCTTTACCAGTAAAGGAATGAAATCAGCTGATGTACACGACTGACAAAAGTGATGTCTAAGAACAAACGAGCAAACACCTGTAAAGAGCCGACTACCATCACCACTACTATTGTGAAACAACTGCGCTCTAAATTTATTTTAAAGAGGAAATTACGAATGTGAAACTGGACAGCATATTTTCAATATAGTATATTTTGATATACTTCAACTGTGCAATTAATTAGATGGTAACAATGATCCAAAACAGCCTTTGCTTTCCATTTCCAACCTTACAATGACAGGACATAACTGAATAAAACTGTCCACTTTTGTGCCATATTCTGTAATTTTGTGCTACAGGTACAGACCAGTCTAGCCTACTGCTAAATAATAATAAACTTTTGTTCGAGACAAAATTAGCATTATATTTTTATCACTATGAGATAACAAAATATTGCAGTTATCTGGTTAGTGCATATTACATGGTTCAAACTCAAAGAAAGTGAAAGTACTGAGGCATTTCAAAACTTGAAACTTGCCAGCACAAATCTGTTTTTTTTCTATCTCACCTTCCCTGTGTAAACTGTGATGATGCCACGGCCAATCTGTTGCTCGCTTCCTCCAGTGGTGCCAGAAGTAAGGCGGGAGAAGACATTCTCCTCGCGGCTGTTGAGGCGTCGGTAGGCAGGTGGGGAGGAAGGGGGACTTCCACTGCCATCAAGACCCTGCTCCCTGATGTTAATGGGGAAGGGAGGGTCAGTGGGTTAGTACCAGCAGCAGTTAGATGGCACTGTTATCAATAGCCACTACAGCACAAGGGTCACAGAGGCCTCAAGACCATGCAACACAGGGTCAGGCGGTGTTCAACTGTGACAAACCACAACAGCTGTCCTGCTCTGATTGCCTATTAGCAGCACAAAGATTATATACAGCTGTATCAAATGCAGAAGTTATGCAACATAAACCAAAATGAGATGATTATATATGATGAATCACTACAGAGAAAGCAATTGCAGTATATTTCAAGGTAATATTTCTATATTCACCTGAAAAGGATGGGTAAAAATAATTAGTCTCAGAGACAGTAATGTTTGTGCTCCTCAGGTCCTAACAAAAATACAAGTTAGATATGTCACTGCTGAGCTAATCTGCTGGATGCAAGGTATATGTTATGTAATAACACTGTTTCGTCTGCATAGGTTATATTCATAATGAATGGTGAATATGCAGGGATCCAGGTGATATGTGCGGTCTCTGTGAAAATTCTATTGTGGAATTAGCCTGGAGAGACTGTGAAAATTAACAATCATCAGTCTGAGCAGGTTGTAGTCCAGTTAAATTTTAGTTTAGGTTCCTCAGAAGCACAAGTCCAGAGCATTACTGATATAATAATGTACTAGGTCTAGAGTACAGAACAAAGTAACAGGCCAGTAACGTAACAGTTGTCACATGTGAATGAATATTAATTAACAACATAAATTTCATGGTATGGAGTCATGACATATAAAAATTATGTTTTTGGCTTATTCAATTTTACTTTCAAATGCTGAGATTTTAGAGCACTGAGTGATAGGACAACTATTAGATAATGAACTGGAGAGAATGTGAGAGCAGTCATGGCACCAGAATTTGCATTAAGGGGCTGAAAAAAACCATGAAATATCAAGTCAGAATACCTGGTTTCTGTGCTGATATTTGAACAAGTATGAAGCAAGCAATCCTAGCCACCTGAACACATCTCGTATTTGTAAAAGGCAATGAATAAGCAGTAAAACATTCTTTTGAGACACAACAAAGTACAAAACCCCAACTTCATGTGGTACAAACCACATTCAGAAATGCAGCAATGGTAACTAAATCATAGCGGTACAGAGTGTATACAAATTATCTTTACATCTTTACTCGTGAATAAAATATTTATGAAAGGACACAGAGGGTCATCTGTGACAGAAACTCTCAAAGTTTCACCTACTCCCTGGTACGTGGTAGCATCCCTTGTCTTCCGCTGCAGTGCAGCTGTCTTTATGAATCAGGTTGGTCGCCATGAACCCACAGGATAAGGCTGAGTAATTTAATACCACAACGAAATTTTGGAAAACCTGCTGATCATAAGCAATAAAATATAAACAAACGTTATACTTCAATGCATAATTCACATAAGAGGGCACATATTCAGGACCTCTGTTTACTTATTTATTCCTCTTTTATTTAACAACACTGTTTCAATTGCAGATGTAAAACAGTGTGAGAGGTGGGAAGATAATCATGAATGATGGGTAGGTGAGGATTTGGAAAGAAACAGTTGTAGCCTATTTTGAAGTGCCTGAAAATGCTCAGGAAAAATTGGTAACCCAGCTGAAACTTGAACCATTTATCTCTACAGCATTACTACACCAATGTACTCAGATCAGGACCGCTGTTGTCATGAAAACTATACTACTGGATCATCATCCATGCCTACAGAGGGCAGACATCACACTCTGAAACAAACTTTACAGGTGCTGTATGCACACAAATAATTGAAAGGATGATTAAAACTGACTTATCGTACTGGATCATCATCCATGCCTACAGAGCGCAGACATCACACTCTGAAACAAACTTGACAGGTGCTGTATGCACACCAACAATCGAAAGGATGATTAAAACTGACTTATCATTTGCATTAAATATTTTGTACCAAAAGGGGGTATGAAGCAAATGTTTGAATTTGAGCACTGACAGTTTGGATTATGAGGCATGTATTTATCAGAACGTACTTATTTAAAGCATCCTAAACACTGAATTAACTTTAAAGCCAAAATAATTAAAATAAAATTCAGTATTATGTTCTGATAAATATAATTGGATACCACATTCCAGATAATATAATGAATAAGACATAATACCATCAAATGGAACAAGAACACAATTTATAAATATACTAGCAGGAAATTAATTAAGGCAGATGGCAAGTGCAAAGTAATGCATATGATCTAATCATCTTTCATGCCTACTTCCACTTTTACTTATGCTATGTTTTTATAATTATGGAAATGTGTTTCCATAAAAGTATGAATACAGGAGAAGTAAGTGATTTTCTTTTCTTCTTCCAAAAACTGTGTATATATTAATTGTTTTTTGGAAGACTAGATTCAGTCCAGTAGTTTCATAACAAATGCATAGGCCTGGGTCAAATAATGAGCTATTTTCAGTAGTAATTCTGACTTTAACAATATTTAAACTATTTAAATTAGGCCAGCAAATAAAAAAACTGTTCTGTACATTTTTGAATAGTTTGAAAATCACGTCTTCTTTTGATATCAGAAGATACTAAAAATAAACTGCAACATATTTTATATTTACGCATTAATGGACTGAAATTTTCATCAATAATATAATGTAATATCTGCAAATCACAATAGAAATTTAGGGATTTATTGGACAGGCATCATATAGATAATAATAAGGCACAATTTCTTTCATTGCAATAAAGACGCAAAGTATTCTGACAAAAATATTAAGAATCACATTCTTGTCAATAAAGCTTCATAAAAATAAATTTAATAACAACTACTCCACCTTTGAACACATTTTGTGAGAGATTTCTATTTTACATATTTTAATTTGTCTAAAGGAGGATGATGGTGCGACACCATTGCATACAGCCAGAAATACAGGTATCCCTCAATTTACGCTGGGGATGCATTCCTGGACGAACTGGCATAAACAGAATCGGCGTAAATTGAAACTCTTTCTATAATGTAAATCAATGGGAAGTCAATGACATGCGTTCCCAGCACCCAAACATTGACGAGTAATATAATGGCATTACATTTAAAGCTCTGAAATAACGTAAAT